TAAGACAAAGCAGAGAGGGCTTAATAAGCTGTTTGGACACTGCATAGCTGAAGGTGGTAAATGAACATCACTTCATTGTCTTCGGCACTTCATAAACAGAGGACTGCACTAACATTATGTTTAGCCTCCCTCAACAGAAAAGAAAGTGGACTGATATGACTCTTTAAAAGTGCAAAGAGAAGAATGTTTGCATTCACTTAAAAGAATTAATATCCTAGACTGCTGACTGATTGAACCTTTAAAGTGTAATTTGAAAATGGAAATGTTAGTATAGTATGCCTTTATTGCCAAGGGTTTTTAGGAAGAGTTGGTTTGGATATTTTCCCTTTTTCATATTGACACTGGTACTTTTATCAATTTAAGCACACTAACATTAAAACACTAAAAGGCATGTAGGTTTCAATAAAATTCATTTTTTATATCTTCAACCCATATAACTAAATGAGCTGCTTTAACTTTTTTTAAGCAGAAAAGATAATAAAGTTAAATGAAAAGTCCCAGAGCTTAGTTTTAAGACTAAATGGTATTTTAGATGAAATAGTTAAAGAAAGCAGAGTTTGTAACTCTGAGATAAAGATAAAGGTTTAAATCTGTCTTTATATTATGAGGATTCTTCTTGGAGCTGCAAAATTGATAAACACACTTCCAAGTCTCACTGGTGTGAGCTGCTACAAGCTACCTGTGAGTCAGACCAGAGATGCTGTTATGGAAAGAGCATTTGATGAAGATTGGGAATTGGAGTATCATCCCCAATTGTACCACTAGCATGCTGGGAGACTGTGGACAAGTTGCTTCTGTACTTCTGCTTTCTGATCTGCAAATGGAAGATAATAGTGTACACTTCTAACGCAAGATCTGCTGATCCCTAAATAAGAGATATTGTAAGCTTGCCTATCATTTTGCCAGTTCAGTTGGTTTCTTGAAATATCTTGTGTTAAGATGAGAGAAAGTTAAGAACAGAAAGCAGTACCAGGCAGAAATAAGTTTATTTGAAGGCCTTGTAATGAAGAAAGGAAAGTATTCACATAACTGTAGGATGAATTAAATAGTGATTAAAGCAGTAAAGCTTTAATCTATTAGTGTGCACACCTAATAGACCATAAACAACGTGAAAGAAACACACAGAAGCAATAAAGGCAGAGTTATTAAGATATTTAAAAAGCACCACTTAGGGTAGAATGGTGCACTGCCAGAAAATGTGTGCATTTACAAATGTACTTGCACATACCTGTGTGTGCATGCATATTCAGAGTCATGCAGAAAGAGAAGAGAAATATCTAGCAGCCTTTAGGTTGGAAAGAAACTTCAGGAGTCAGATTCTCTTGGCGGTACTTCACTGCTTCACCCATCCAATAGAATGCAATTCACAAATGAATTAGGGTTGCGGAGAGGGAAGATTAAGCCTGATTCTAGCTTGCAAAATTTTGTTCTAAAATCACTGCAGTATGCAATTATAAATACATATAATTAGGTGACTTAGATTTCATGAAATGACCCAAATGCTGCTTTCTGCATGACTTGCCTATGCAACAAAAATATGCAACGTAAACTAGAAATAAATGACTCTGAGTATTAAAACTAGTCTAAGAGTGTTTGTTTAGGAAATAAAGAAAAAGCAGTCACAAATTTGGGTAATTGTTCTAGAAGACAGAATTACTGCTGTTTATATCAAACAAGATGCTCAGGAACTAATGCATTTTTTCTCCCAAATTTGTATCTCAGTTAACCATCAACTCTAAATGCATATTTCCTTGTTGTAAAGACATTTCTAAGGCCTCTTCTCAAACTGAACTCTCTAAACACCTTTAAAATCAAAACCAACTTTTTTTGCAGCCTTCTCTCCAGATAGATACTGAGTAGCTATCTCATCTCCACTTCCCCTCAGGTGACATCCAAGAAAACTGCTTGACATGATTATCTTTCAGTACTCCATTCCTCTATTCAAAAGTTATTTGTTGAAAAGCTATTTGGATGATCAGGAAGGAAGAGAAGGAGGGTGATGAAGATGCAGAGACATGGAAAGGAAATTAGACAAACTTAATTCCTTCGGAACAAAATATTGTCCCCATATGTTCACGTGATCTCAAAAACCTCCTTGCCATAGAACTTCTGCAGAGGTGACTGATAAATCAGAGTAGAAATTTTATCCGTTCGGTACAGCAGATCAATGATAACTTATTCTCCAACCAATGAAGGAACATCCATTTCAAATACCTCAGCTACTCACAGTTGAATTTTATCCAGACAAACTATGTCACAGGATTGTGAATCCATGGCATACTCCGAATGCAATTTAGTTCCCAGCTTAACATATTGCTACTCAGAAAGAGCAGTAAGCACATCATGACTGTGGTATCATTTTTTTAAAGATACTAAAGAGATACATTCCTTGTTTAGCTATTTCAACTATAACTTATGAGAAAACAGATTTGTAATGTCTCTTTGTCATATTTCTCTTTGACAAATACTTTGGATAAGCAAGACAGAGCGGGAAAAAAACCCCAACTGGTGTTACACATATTTTTCCTGGAACCAGTAAGACATATTCCACCTAGTTAATACTCTCAGTTAAAAGGAAAGCTTTTATGATATTTTTTCCAGAAGGAAAAAAATTCCACTTTGTGACATGCAAGTTTGTACTTGAGGTCAAAAAAACTACATGTAGATGAAGAACTCCTTCTTTATCTTACCACTTGGCATTTTTTATGGCGGAATGTTACCAATAAAAACCCCCAAATTAAGTACAAATTTAAGTATTTAAAGTGGCTAGAGTTTCAGAGGAGCCAAGAGGTTGCATCCATAAACTGAGGACAGTGTATTTTGCAAGTGCTCAGAATCTCTGTGCTATTGGGAAACCAGACATCAAGCTATGCATTCATTACAAGGACATTCTGAAGAACCGCTAATCACCTACTAACAAATTATACTCAGTGCTTCTGAACAAAGGGCAAATTGGAAACCAAACTTGTAATTTATACAATTGTAATACAGTTTTGTATTCCATTTGTTTAAGTTTCACATTTTATCTGCCTGAGTCAATGACCTTATATCAGAGAATGCAGAAGACCAAAAATAGAAATGCATGATGCTGTAGCTAGTGTGCATTAATCAGCTGATAGCATCTTATTATGTTTGATGGAATAGACTGTAAACAAGAAGTAGCTAGGATTAGTGAACATGGTACTTAGTTTTAGAAAATTAATCTGTGTTACTTTTTACATGTCTAAAAAACTTGTATTTAAAGCACATCTCTTATATGTAATGGCATGAAAATATAACTGAATGGAAATCTTAGGTTTAGTGCATTACTGCAATGACACTCTGGCTTGTTCTCTGGAGAATATCATCCAGGATTACAATGCAGTACCCTTTAGCCAACACAACACGGCTTTATTATGAGAGTGGTCAAAGAACTCAAACTTCTACAAATAGACTACTTATTGTTGAAACATATCTGTAGCTGCCATGTTCCCATTGCTCTTATTTTAACCATACATTGATTATTCATTATAAAACATGTTGTGATATCTTAAAAAAATTCCCTCTAAAATAATAGCTGGGATTTGATAATGAACAAAATTCAGGAAACATTCAAGTTCTCCTTCGTTCTAAGGGTATTTCTGTTAAGAAGAAAGCACCTTACTTGCCAAATTCAAACCAAATCCTAGGCACATCTGTTCCAATGGCACTTATTATCACTGCCATTCTGGATGGGAAGACACTCCTCTGAACCCTTGTGATGATAAATTATAGGGGAAAAGAAAATAAACTATCATACAAAGAGTTTCCTGGCTCACAGCCAAACAGATAAGAGAAGTGTATGGTGAAACCTTCCCATATCTGTCTATACTGATGGGGAAAATAACTCTGATGAACAACAGTGTGTATTGAGATGCAACTGCAGATGGGCATTGTGCAACAGCACTCCAAAATGTCCCATGGACATTTATTTCCTTTAGAAGAACATGACATTTCAAAACAGCTTAAGGAAAAAGTGGTTAATTTTTTATCAGCCTGGAGTGAGGAAAGAAGAAAGAGAGAGGGGTATTGGCATTTCCATCCCTTGCTGTTTTGGTGGAGTATGGTGATCTCAGAAAATCAGACAACTTCCTTATCCTGCTACAATGAAAATGGTGAAAAAGGAGGTTTATGCATATTTTTCCATGTTGTGATGTTTTAATTTGCTTACATGTCTCTTGCCCTCACTTTAGGTAAGAGGATGCAGCAGATGTTTCCTCTCTTTACCCACAGGTGAAGAGCAGAAGAGAGAGGTCAGCCCTTATGAATGACTGTTCCACTGGGAGGAAAGGGCAGCAATTCCAAGAGCACATCTGCTACTGACCCACCACATTTGAAATTCCTAAGGAATTTTAACTTTTCTTCTCAGAGAGACAAAACAAGTGGGCCTCCGAAACTAAACTGTGGAATGGGAGGCAGAACGTTGCCTTCCTTGCCTTTCAAATGAAATGAGCTGCTGACAACTCCATATGGCTCCTTTTAAGCTTAGTGCGTTCCTTGCTCTGCAAACGCTCCCTTTGATTCCAGGGGAACTGTTTGCAGAAGGAGGTATTGCTTACCATATGTAATATTGGCAGGATAAGATTCCCTCTCTCCATCTCACCTTTGGATGGGGAGAGAAAGGAGATGAACATCAAGGCTTAGTGTGCCAAGTCTTGAAAATATATTTACATGCCAAAGTGGGACTCTTTCTTTGAACACCAACCACAAGGAGCTCTTCTGTACTTTGGGTAGTTCATTAACAGAAATCAATGCAAGCTGCCTTTTAAGAAAGCCAACACTTGTTCATTGACACACTTTATAATTCCTTTTAGCAGAAGCATCAATGCTTACAAGGTGTGCAGTAAATTATGGCAAAACTGCAGAATGGCAAGGCTACAGAAACTAGTTACATTTCAGTGTAAACTTATAAGATAAACCGAAATACACTGAGAGAAAGAGTAATTACTAAGAACCAGAGACAAAAGATTTGTTGTCTGTACCTGGAGGCCCTTCTTCTCTATCTTCTTCTGGAGTATCTGAAGACACTTGGTGAAATCTGTGAGGTCCTGATCCATGGTCTCAATTAACTCACATCCCTAGTGAAGGAAGCAGTAAAACAGAGAGAGAAAAAAAGTCAATCATTTTTCAATTTTGAGAACTAATGATGTCTTTGGTGAATTTAACTGCAGTCAATAACTCAGAGTCTCTGCATGGAGATGCAGAATTAAGTAAAAGACTATCACCCTTATAGAGCCCAAAGACTGTAGGTCCCAGCTTAACAAGTTACTATGAAATAGCAGTTTGATGGCTAGAGGAGTAGATGTTCAAAACCCATTGAGTACCTTTGTGCCTTTGGATAAGCACGTTTTATGATGCTCTGCTGAATGAGCAAGTTCTGGTGTAGCAAGCCCTGGGTGATCAGTAACTTCCATGAAAATGACTGTTCTCTCTCACATATATTCAAATGTGTATAAATGTAAGCATACAAAAGTGTTCAAGCTTCCAGACCCCGGTGCAGTTCTAGAAGTTAATTTGCAGTGATCCAACAGTGATTTCCTTGCAGTGGGTTACTATGGATGAGAGTATGTTAAAGTAGAGAAGAGTAGGAGTTCAGATTTCTTAATTAAGAACTAAAGCAATTCCTAAGCCTCTGAAAAAAAGCTGAGTAAGGAAAAGTGGAGTGCTTCTACCACATAAAGTCACTATTCAAAGACGTTTCAAGAACACAAAATACCAAGTGAAGCATTGTAAATTAAAGTAAAAACCATACACGCTGTATTTAGAGGTTCCCTTTCGTACCACAAGGTTCCCTTAAAAGCCTTTTATCTTTGTCTTACCTGACGGATTTTAATTTTCTCCTATACACAATAACAACTGATAAGAGAAAAACATTCAGACTATATAATATTTGTATGTGTGCCTGTGTTTATAAAGTGCATTATTTTGTTACATCAAAAGAACCCAACCCAATGCAAACAAAACCCATAAACCAAAACCAACAAACGAAAAAATCCAAACAAACCCCCTCCTCCCAAAAAAACCCCCAAACCACAACCAACAACCAACACCAAATTGCTGAAGTTGCATCTACATTAGTTGTGAAAATAAAGGCACACAAGACAAAACTTCCCAGATTAGTGAATGGGTGGAGTTTAGTGAATTGCATGCAACAATGTAACAGGCCTCCATAGGAAAACATACACTATCACTGAGGTGCTTCCCCACACAGTCAGAATGCATATAAAACCAAATAAAGCCATAATGCAGAAGGGGCTGCATTTGGATGAAGTAGAAGAGGTAAGGGAGGAGAAGACAATGACATGTTTTTTTATTATACCTCTTCTCCTCCCTCCTCAAAAACTTCTGAAAGGAAACATAGTCAAAAGTAATAGCCTTTCTGATACCTGATATTGCCCTAAATATCTTTTCAGGCTTGCCTGGATGAAGAATCATATTGCTGCAACAGCACATGTAATCAGAGGCCTCCACTGCAGTAGTGATGCTGTTGCCCCCACAAAAGGGTTATGGAAAATGTAGCTGGATCCTGGACTCAGTGCTAAGCATGAAACAACCTGAAGAGCTGTCACATCTCCACTCTTCACTAGGAAAGGTAAAAGGGTAATTGGCAGGAGAAGAAGGGACACAAGCCATCTGGAGCCTATAATGAACATGTGAGTTTGGCAACACCAGCCAGAGACACCAAGGGAGCCGAGGAAAGGTATACGGGTGTTCAGGACCACCCGGAAAGCTCACGGTTGGATCTGAAAACTACCAAAGGGGATTTGCTAATCAAAGCCACTCTAAATGAAAAGATGTTTCATTCACTACGGATGGGGTGCTCTCAGACAGTCTCAATATCAGCACTGATGGTGGGAAGAGACACCAAGCTGCGAGAAACTTTGAACAGACAGAACTTCCTCAGTCTTTCTCAGACAGCCGCTGAACGGCATGAGAACATGACAGACAAAGAGTAAATCAATGGCAGGGACAGCTACTGCTGAGCATGGGAGAAGAGACACAACCTCAGTTACCAGCTCTTAAATTGGTAGTAGAGAAGGTAGGCTTTTTGTCTTTTGCCAGGGCCATTCCTTGGCTTCACAGCATTGGCAGAAGTAAGCATTTTATAGGTACCAATTTATAAATAAAAAATTTAACCTCCACTCTCCCTCAGCACTATGAAATACTCCTGCACTCACTAACAAGCCTGAGCTCCTTGAACAGGCAGGTTTTGGCAGCTGCAGGTATGCTGCAATTCTGCTTTCCGCACAGGGAAGACCAAAGTGCCAAGTTCTTTTTTTTTTTTTTTTTAAGTGATGATCTAAACCAGCTTAAATTATTTTATTATTTATTATTTTATGCTACTATTAAGAACATTTCACTTGAGTTCCATTGTTGCCCAGCTTCTCAGGATGTTCTTCGATATGAAAAATATTCTAAAGCAACTACAAGGTACTATCAAGGCAAGATAACATTAGCATGGTGGTTGGAGAGCACTGAAGGTCATTTACTACAGTCCAGAAGAAAGCTGTGATGTACCACACATAGAAAACATATGTTCAGACCTGCTACTGTCTTTTCTGCATATTCACCATAAAAGGCCTCAAATACCCATCACAGAAACCCAATCTAAATATGTGGATGGGACGTCAAATGCACAGTTCATTAAAGGTACATTACTGTACCCACAATATCGGTACCAAGAAGGTGCTGTGGCTTAGGAGGGGTATCCTGAAACTGCTTACTCACTGCTCGTACCTTTGATGCTTTATACAAGTACTGTTGTAGATCATCATAACAAAAAATGTTGATAGAGTGTTACCATTAAATCCACAACTTCCTTCAAATTAAACTGTGATTTCTCATTCTCTTTCCATGTCAAACAGATAACCAGTTCTGGAATTGACAGAGATTTTAGAACTGCTCCTTTTGCCACAATGTCAAAGAGACTGGTATGGTCAGATCGAACTGGGGGTGGGGACAAGCAGCAGCACTTGCATCATCCTGCACTCTCTTTACAGCCTTGTTGGAATTAATGTCTGTGCAGTTCATGTTCACTCATGGTTTAAGAGCTTCAGATAAATCTGTTGCTCCTGATATATCAAATCCAATATTTTATGCCACGAAATTGGATGACAATTGTAATGCAGTTCTTTTCAACCTCCACTGCATTATTCTGGAATGACAAAAATCTTCAAGACAGAGCTACCCACTGCAGCCAGAGTTTAATGAAAGGACAGTATAACAATGGCAAGATAGGCAATAACGCTTGTAGTTTTATAGATACCTGCTCAACTTAATAACATTAACCTTTTGTAAGAAAGTTAAAAAGCCAAACAAATTTAACATTAGGAAAGGTTAGAAAAATCAATACCACACAGCAGGAATGAACACAATAGATTGCATCTGATGACGCTATAGCTTTGCTGAATGATAGGATGAGGCACACAATATTAGGCTTTGGCTGTTCTGTCTTATTATAGCAGCTATGGGAGGCACATTGCTAAAGAAGGAGGAGTGTGTCAGACACACATAATAGGATTATTGAACCCTATATTTCAGACAGACACTGAATTTAGACAGGCACTGAAATGTCAATCTGAACATTTCAGGATTTCTCCAATTTTTAGAAATGTTACACATCACAGCACGTTGCGTGTTTGGAGAAAGCAGTGTGTAGTTGTCCACTCTCCCATGTTCTTCTTAACCTTTTATTAAGAGAAAGTTATCCTTGCTCTTTCTCTTATCTTTCTGAGCATGAGAATATAATTAGAATACATAAAATATCCTAATGTGTACTCTATCTCCAAGATCTTCATACAACAAGATGTTCGAGACTATTTTCGAAGCCTGTATCTGACTGTGCTCACTGAGTGCACCAGTGACATTCAGTTCAGTCCTCTAACAATTCCTGTGCACTGAGGCTCAATTTTGAGGTATACATCTCAAACAGATGCACTTATGTATAGTGTTAATGGCAGCCACAGGAAAGACAGATATCCTCAAGTCAAAAGAGAAGAAAGGAGACAGCCTATAGAGCCTCTCAAAATCACAGCACAGACAAAGTCTAAGAAACCTCTAAAAACTAATGTTATCTCTAAACATGCTCCTTCCCTAGATTTTACCTACCCAAACAGTAACGAACCCACTCAATCCTAATATCCCACTGACCAACTAAGTAAGAGCTATAGATTCTCAGCACTATTTCAGTTGGAAGGGACTTTTCAAAGGCATCTGGTCCAACCTTTTGCTCAGAGTAGGACAGATTTGCTCAGGTTGCTTGAAGCCCTTTCCAGTCCATGTTTAGCACCTCCCAGGATGGAGACTCCAATTCTCTGGGCTTGGCCACTCTTGTGGTGAAATTTTCTTTCCCAGTGCCTTTCACTGAGATCTCCTGTATTGCAAATTGGGGTTGTTGCTTCTTTTCCTGTCCCTACTTAACTTAAAGAAGAGTCTTTTTCTATTTTCTCTCTGCCCACCCATTAGGAAGTTTGACAGCAATACAATCTGCTGTTCACCTTGTCTTCTGGAAGCTGAACAAACCAGTTTACTTCAGCCTCTTCTCACACATCATGTGCTCTAGACTTCCCTAAAATACATTTCCCTCATTTGTGCTTTATTGGCACGCGGTATTTCCACCTCTAAGAGCTTGAAGAAGTCAATTAACAGTAAGGAGGCAGAGGGTTCCTAGTTCTCTCTTCCTTTTAATTTCTGGCCCCAGGGAATTTCATTTTGCCTCTCTGGTATCCTCTACCTCTTTTGTCTACACAGAGAATAACTCCAAACCTCTGCATTCTTCATATACTATCTTCAGTTACCCGAATATTTTGAAGCCTCAAACATTTTCATACCCAAATGTGCAGACAAGTATTTACATTCTGAATTGGACTCCATGGAATTGATACCGAAAAGCAACTCTAGGGAAAAGCATACATGGATGCAAGCAAGAGATGCTGTTCTATACAGAATGATGAACAGAAATGAACTGCAGGATCTGACTGGGGGTCTTGGATAAGGCCTAGCAAATTAAAAAAAGCATGTGGATGCATAACCAAACAAGTTTAACAGATAACAGACATCTACTCATCTGTAATAGGAG